AATAAAACAAAACCTAGAAAATCAAACTTTGTGGAATAAACTAAAACTCTAGAACATCAAATATCTAGGAACAGAGGGAGTAATAAACTACGAACCAATAGTAATTTGCAACAGTTAATCATTACGTCTTGAAATCTACAATTTCTTAATATCAATTAATTAAACTAAAGAAAAAATTTAAAAAACTATTTTTTGTGGAACAAATCCAAAACACTAGAAGATCAAATTTTTAGGATCAGATAAGAGTAAAAATCATGCTGAAAATGTACGTGCAAGAGTGTGTGTTCGAACAAGTATCATTAAAGAAGGCCATGCTCTATTCAATACCATTCCCTTATTATAATAAATACATTAGGCAAAAACGAAGCAGGATAAAAAGGAGAGAGCGATGATGGATGGTCATGGAGTTTGCTGTTTTTAGGGACGAATAACAAGTATCGTATGATTGGTAAGACTTCTTCTGTCGGCGCGTGACCCGACAAATCGGCACGCGCGTGTGTGTGAGTCACGTGGTTCGACGCCTCTCACTGGCTCATATCATATTGGGTCCACGTGAGTTTCTTTACCTTTTTTTCTTATTTGTTCTTCCCCTCTTTTATACGTAGTTTTATTTCCCCTTAATAATTAATTACGGATTTTGCCATTTTTTATAATAGTATTTATGAATTTTGCTTTTTTTTGAATAATTTATGGATTTTGCTTTTTTTAGGCTCCAAAAATATGATTTAACATGCGTTTCATTCGTTATGTTTGGGTTTAGTCGGTTCCAGTTGTTCTTAGGGTTTAGTATTTGGTATAATGTACTTATTTTTGAAAAAAAAAATCATAAATACGTACATTTTTAAGTGATAAAAAAGGCAAAATCCATAAATTATTTAAAAAAGGGCAAAATCCATAAATGTCATTATAAAAAAGGGCAAAATCCGTAATAATCCCGACCCCTTAATAACCCCAAAAATCAGTATATTACTTGATATATTTTATATTTAATAAAATTTTACACTTTCCAAAAAAAAATATACTTTGTTGAAAATGTCTCCATATTTTTCTGCACCCCACGTGTACTCCACCTCTGTTTTTTAAAAACTTTTTTTCTATAGACAAAAGTTTAAACTATAGTCATTTGTGATATACAAATGCATGTGAAGGTTTAGAGAGTTACATCTCAAAACCAATTTCTAACCATTTGGGTAATCTATAGTTTATATATATTTTTTGGGGAATGAATATATTTTTTTCCAGTTTTTTTGGTGTATAGAAAGTTTCATTTTTTGTATATACGAATAGAAAGTTTTTTTTTTTTTTCAAAGGAGAAAGAAGAAGTTTAGTGAAATTATCTTTGGTAGGAAAAATAAAATAGAAATATCTTGCTTGTATGCGACTATTTCTATTGCACATACAAAAAACGACTATAAAAAGGACCCACATTGATTATGAAAATCAGATCGACGAAAAGTTTATGTGTCTGATTCCAATCATATTGATCCAATTCACTCATATTTGATGGTTGTCAAAGCATATAGCTGGTGGATTAAGTGGGGCGCAACATTGAAAACATTTCTCAACCGTATGATCTCATTTCAGCTTTTTTGTTTTCTAAACGTTTAATCGTGACCGTCAATTTCTTTTTCAATCTCTATAATATCCTTTAAGGATTTGAAGGCAAGAAAAATCTTGTTGCAACTAATAAAAGGAATCGATTTTGATGCTCATTAATCGACCTTTATGACAAAATGGTCAAGACTCACGATAAATGCTAAATCATTCTATGCTAACTAGGCTAATATAAAATGTTTATACTTTCTCCCTTTCAGAAAGAGTATCGTTTAAAGTTTTAATCTCGTTTAATAAAGAGTGTCGTTTTGTGTTTTTAATACAGTTTGAAAGACTAATTCTCTTTTTTAACCTCACTATTTTAATTTATTAATTAGAGAGAGAGTATTATTTAGTATATTAATAAAGAGTAGAAATGAAATTTGTTTACTTTTTTTAATTTGTGTAAAAAATGGTAGAATGACACTTTTTATGAAATTGAGGAAATTTAATTTTAAAATAAATATATGATTTGACAAGTAACCATTTGATTTTTAAAATTATTCAATGATTTCCCATTACAACAACATCTAACCATACTTAATGTACGATGCTATTCATTTTATAAAGTCGAATGAACCCATGTATCAATGCATGTTTTATATTTTTGATATACATGTACATATACTAGTGTACCAATATTTTATAAAAAATATATATGTGAGTTAAAAAAGTAATACTTTCTTCTGTGTTACAACAAAATTATTTGAGCATTAAATAAAAAATACAAAAATTGTTAAAAATGCCCCTTTTTCAATACACTTTTCAAAAATGCCTTCTTTGAGAGTCAATTTTTAAGTTTGATCTCTTTTAATTTTTAATGACTATTTTACCCTTATTTGAAACAAAATTAGGTCCACAAAATACAAAATATTTTTTGGCGGGAAAAGTGATCCCGCAATTTTCTCGCCAAAACACTTGTAAAAACCTTTAAAATACCTTGTAAAATTTTCCCGTAAAATTTTTTTGGCGGGAAAAATTTACAAGATATTTTAAAGGTTTTACGGAGTATTTACAAGTATTTTGTAAGGTTTTACAATGTATTTTAAAAGGTTTTACAAGGTACTTATAAGGTTTTATAAGGTATTTATAACTTGTAAAACCTTATAAAAAACTTGTAAAACCTTATAACTTGCAAAATCTTATAAAATAGCTTGTAAAATCTTATAATAGCTTATAAATACCTTATAAATACGTTGTAAAACCTTTTAAAATACATTGTAAAACCTTATAAATACCCTGTAAAAAACCTTTAAAATACATTGTAAAATTTTCACGCCAAAAATTTAACGCCAAAAAAATTGCGGAATCACTTTTCCCGCAAAAAAATTTTTTTGGCGGGAAAAAATTTTATGGGAAAATTTTACAAGGTATTTTAAAGGTTTTTACAAGAGTTTTTGCGGGAAAAATTGCGGGATCACTTTTCCCGCCAAAAAATATTTTGTATTTTGTGGACCTAATTTTGTTATATTTCCTTATATATTTGTGATATCTTTTATTAAAAGAAGTGTAATTTAGTCATTTTGTACATAAAATGAGTATTTTTAAAAATTGACAGCCAAAGAGGGCATTTTTGAAAAGGGGTATTGAAAAAGGGGCATTTTTGTGAGTCTCCCTAAAAAATATATGGTAATTTACAAGAAAAAAAAAAGAGAAGAAGAAGAAGAAGAAGAAGAAGAATAACATGTGTGTGAATTCAAAAAGCAAAAAAAAAAAAAACAGTATACACTTCAAATAAACAAAAGAAACAATTAATTGGGAGACAAGGATTGAGAAATAAATTAGTTTTTTAGTAAAATCCACAACAATGAAAATTTTAGACATTTTTTTGCCAAATATAACCTCACGCGCTTCCTTTCCATTTTGTTTTATAGTCGATCTATTACATGAGACAAACAAATTTTTTGACTTTTAGGTTATCTATCTATGTTAATAGTGCTCCATTTTTTCATAAAAAAAAAGATTCATGCTCTCTTCTTTCTCTCTTATCTTTTTGACTTATTAAACATGATTAAGTTTTGGAATTTATCGTAATTAATTTTTCATTTATACAAGATTTATCACGCTTCTTGTTACTTCTCGTCTCTGGTAACCGTTTTGCAATAGACGAATGAAATTGTAATTATATTTGATGGTTCGACGACTTTGGTTCAATGGCGAAAACCCGCTAGCGATGATGGAATCTAATCAATGTTACTAGGATGATGAATCACACCTAAGATGCAGTGATGACTTCACAAAAATTGATAAAGATCCGGTGAAAAATCGATGGAATCTAGTGAAAATTTTGGTGACAACCCGGTGAAAATTCTTTGAAAACATACGGAATTTTTTTAAAAATCCGACGAAACATATGATTTCAATGATCTCTAAATAACACTCTATATATGTGTTTATATGTATACAAATGTTAATATTGTTTTATGTATGTATTTCTATGCATATAAATAAATTTAACCCTCTATGTATATGTTACATGTATACCAATGTTAATAGCGCTCTATATATATTTACATATATATATATATATATATATATAGATCGAATAACTTAACATTATCACTATTTTTAACGCTCTATATATGTGTTAACATATGTACAAATGTTAAAGACGTGTAATGTATGTTTGTAACGTGTTAAAACTTCTCCAATTTGAGAAAACAACGGTTAATAATAGTCTCATTGTCATTAAATGCCCATTTGCAATAGATATATGTCAGAATTAAATTCTTTTGCCGAAAAAGTCAATTTCGTTATTTTCACGCCCATGACAAAATTATAGACTGGTTTTTGTGTAATTTTTTCGAACTTCAGACCCAATTATAATGTAATTTATTCTTTGTCTTGAACTATTGTCTTTTCACTAATATACTACTCCATTTTTGTCTCTGCGCCAATCGTCCCTAAATAAAAAGAGTATACATGTAAACTCCTAACTAGTGATTTTTTGAGTAGTTTGCATTTTGATATTGGCAATAACTTTTTGGGTTTATTTGATGATAACATGTATTCTAATATAATAGACTATTGTGTTAGAGCACCTCCTTCAGTGAGATGGAGGAGGGTTTCTGCTCAAAATTTATTAATAAAAAAAGTAATAAATGAAGAGAGAGAGAAAGACATAGTTTCTCAAACTCTGAGAAACGTTTCTGCACACATGTCATAAATTTATTAGTTTAATTATTAAAAAAAAATTAATTAAATATTTTTTTTTTGAGAAACTCTGATCATGTCTTTTTTTTTTGTCATCTGAATTATATTAATAAACCTTGTTGGAACCAAAGAAAATTGCAGACGCCCAAAAGAGGGAAACTAAAGCCAGCGGACAACGAACAAGTCCCCGGAGTCAAAGCCGGAGGAAAACGAAATTTCCGGAGTCAAACCCCTATGGAAGGAAAACTAAGAACCACCAAGCAAGAAATTTCAAACCGAAATCGAAAGAGGACAAACTCATAACCTAAGAACATAAGCAAAAAGGCTTGAACATTAGAAAACACACTAGACCTAAGAAAGCAAAAACCTCTTCTCTTGAAGCTCCTGTAGAAGAGATTTATCACGAGTGCCCTCGGCCAACCCAAAGATAACATCTACCACCTCCTATCAAGAAGAGAGCCAATCTCTCAGAACCTAGAACCAAGATCATGTCTACCGATGGAGATTCTCTTAGTGTCGTTATTATGACATTTTCTATATATAAAAATTTGATAGAGTGATATTGTTGAAAAAAATTATCTTTGGTTTGAACCACAACACGAATATTGTGTTATAATTATGATAATTACTACTCCTTCTGCTTTTAATATGATATTTTAAATTTTAACATAAATTTAAAAATAATAATTATAATTTTTTAATTATTTTTATTAGTTTAACAGTATTAACTTTATTTCTTCCATTTTTTATTGGTGAAAAATGAAAGTAATTATGATACAAAATATCAATCTTTTTTTTTTTTTTTTTTGACATCTTTTGATCGACAAGGTCCGATCCATAGCCAATCCCTACTACGCGGGATAACGCGATTTAGTGGAGTCGAACTCCGGTGAGGAAGGCGGAGTCAAGTGGACTTAACCACTTGACTAAAGGCACATCCCCACAAAATATCAATCTTTAGACAACAAAACAAAAAACTCAAATATCATTCAGACAAATAGGTTTATGGTATATGATGATAGTCTCTCAACATCCTCATTAATCATTATTGTTAAGTTAACAAAAAGAAGAAAAAAGCATCATTATAAGTTATTAATAAGTTTAAATAGTATTTTATTTCCTGGTACAATGTACTGTTTTTGGTCATTAAGTGGTTCAACGACAAAAGTAAAACTCATGAGGTCGACCCATGCGTTAGAACAAGAAAATCTGAAAAAGAAGTTTGAATTCTTTAATTTTTCATAAAAAGAAGTTTGAATCCAATTCAACCGTTTTTGTTTAGTTGTTCTTTAATTAATTTTCTCACTGATGCTTAAAAGTAAAAGGTTTTCAAAGTGTGCAACAAGCGTGACTCTTTGGCCTTTAGAGCCATTAAGAAGAGTAATCATTTTTTTTACTCTTTCTCGACAACAGCAATCACAAGGATGGATTTGCATTATCATTTCTACTTTTAATAATCCTATAAAATAAAGTCAAATCATCGCAAAAATTTGATAAATTCCATGGAAATTATAAACGTTTGACTAACAATTGTTGGCTGTGCATCGTAGCTTACTAATTTAATTATAAGGTTTATTTGTTGCAGATAGTAATTAATATCGAAAATGAAATGTCTAATTTCATTACGTATCAAAGAGGATTTCAATTTTTATTTGACTAGTTCATATATTCTCACGACTTCAAAATCTAATCAATCATCTACACTAGAACATTTGATTGAAACAAAAACAAAAAGTAATACATCCAAATGTTAAAAACAAACAAAGTAAACAAAATCAAAATAAAATAACTACGATTAGATTTTGTTCTCGCCTAATATTATTTATTTATTAGTTTGTCCACTAAGGGGGGTGTATGGAATTAAAGATTTGGGTGGATTTGGTGGAATTTAGGAAATTTTGGATTTTGAGAAAGTTATGTGATTTTTTAGGATACTTTTGGTGGAATTGTTAGAATTTTCATTTTAGAAAAGGAAATACTAGTTTGTTATTTGGTGAGATTTAAGAGATAATATTGGATGATTTGGTGAGATTTTTAAAACAAAAATAGGAAAACTGGATTTACAAAAAAAACTTATCTCCAACATTGTCTAGAAAATTTGGGATCTCTTTGCAACGTTGCTTTACAAAAAAATAGAAAAATTGGATTCTCTCTACAACACGTTCCAAAACACGTTCAACGTTGTTTGTGGTAAAAGATAAAGAAATCATGGTGTGTTGTGGTTCTAAAAAAGTATGTTTTTGTATTAGGACTTCAAATTAAAAACTTGAAACTGAGAGAGATTTTGTTGGTAATGAATTTGATTTGCCATTGAAATCTTTTGTTTTTTTTCTGCAAGTGAAGAACAAAAAAAAGTGACAGATTTGTTTTGACTTTTGACGATGAGAATGAGAAAGTGAAAGGACAACTTCTCTTATGTTTATTTTGTTAAAAGAAGTTTTTTCCAAATAACACCTCTCAAGGTGTGATTTCTTTATTTGAATTTCTCATGTAAAATTGTATCCAAAGTCTCCCAAAATCAATGTTATGGCTTTTTAAAAAAAACAAAGTTGTGTTTTCAATAACAGTTGATTTGATATCAAGTTTAGAAATTATAGTTTGAATAACAAGAGATTGTGAGTGATTTTATTGAAATCTCAATTTCAATAACATTGGATTTGAGAAGAGATTTGAAAATCACAAATTCAATAACAGGTGATTTTAGTAAAAACCCAAAATTTTCTAAAATCCTAGTTCCAATACACCCCCATAAAAGTCATATGAAAATCCTAAAAATTACTGTTCCTAAAAAATTGATGTTCTAGCATTTGTTGTTTGTTCCACAAAGATTGATTTTTTAGTATTTTTATTTTATTTTTGTTGAGTTATATTAATAAATTGTAAACTTCAAGATATAATGATTATAAATCATTAACTTTCTTATACTACTATTGGGTGATAATTATTAAAAATATTTAAGATTTTAAAAAATATTAAAATTATTAAACAATAATTGAGTTCTTAATATGTGTGAAAACTCCAAAACATCAAACTATTAAGAACAGATGGAGTATCAATTAGTGATAGTTTGATAATCATCTTTGACTGAGAAAATTGATGTTACATAAACATTAATATATTAACATAATCATTAATGGTGCGACTACAATTATTATTTTATTAATTTCTTAGATTTGATAATTGGTTTAGGTTTGAGAGAGTTAGAGGGGGACAAAGAAGCAAAGTTTGTGATTATAAAATTATTTCATTGAACTAAAGTTTCAATAGTTTATTGACTTTAATAATAATAACTATTTTGCCCCCAGCTAGTCACACACTCATGATTGCAAAAAATAAAAAAATACTAACATCAATTTCTCTCTCTCTACCTCTATATATTAACCTTTCTTCTTCCTTTACTTGCCCATTCATCATCTTTCCTCTGTCTCTCTCTCTCAAAAGAAAAGCAGAAAACTTTATTGCAAAACAGAGTTTTTTTTTTTCTTGAGAAAATTCAACAAAAGATGATTTTGGAGAAAGACGATCTGGGTCTAAGCTTAGGCTTGAATTTTCCAAAGAAACAAATCAATCTCGAAACAAATCCCTCTGTTTCTGTTACTCCTTCTTCTTCTTCCTTTGGATTACTCCGAAGATCTTCACGGAACGAGAGTTTTACTTCTTCAGGTACTTCATAGCTTTCTGGTTTCCTCTGTTTTTTTTTTTTCCCGAGAAAATAAAAAACCTTAAAGGTCTCACCTTTTTTTCGCTTTCTTAAAAATACATTCATTTTTCCGGAAAACACCATCGACAAAACCTTAAAGGTCTCACCTTTTGATCTATTTTTCGATCTTATGCATGCAGTTCCAAACTCAGATTCATCACAAAAAGAAACAAGAACCTTCATCCGTGGAATCGACGTGAACAGACCACCGTCTACAGCGGAATACGGCGACGAAGACGCCGGAGTATCTTCACCTAACAGTACAGTCTCAAGCTCTACCGGAAAAAGAAGCGAAAGAGAAGAAGACACAGATCCACAAGGCTCAAGAGGAATCAGTGACGATGAAGATGGTGATAACTCCAGGAAAAAGCTTAGACTTTCCAAAGATCAATCTGTTATTCTTGAAGAGACCTTTAAAGATCACAGTACTCTCAATCCGGTAACTTTTTTTTCTTCTTTTACTTTATTTTTTCACCCGAGAAAATTTAGTTTTTTACTGAGAAAATTAATGGCCATGATTATTGTGGAAACGAAAAAAAACGCGTAAATGAATATTCACTTTATTGTATTCAACACGACTATTATTACATGTTGACAAAGTTAAAACATTACTACTATAGGTTTTGGTCACTCATAAATGCAGATATTAATTTGTAAATGGCATTTTCGTAAATTTAGACTGAATCAAGGTTATTTCCAACTTTTTTACAGAAGCAGAAGCAAGCATTGGCTAAGCAATTAGGATTAAGAGCAAGACAAGTGGAAGTTTGGTTTCAGAACAGACGAGCAAGGTACAAAAAAAACACACACAGACACACAAACAAAAGATCTCTCTATTTCGCCAATTTACTGACAAGGGTATTTTCGTAATTTAAACAGGACAAAGCTGAAGCAGACGGAGGTTGACTGCGAGTTCTTACGGCGATGCTGCGAGAATCTAACGGAAGAGAACCGTCGGCTACAGAAAGAAGTAACGGAGTTAAGAGCACTTAAGCTCTCTCCTCAGTTCTACATGCACATGAGCCCACCCACTACTTTGACCATGTGCCCTTCATGTGAACACGTGTCTGTCCCACCACCACAACCTCAGGCTGCAACGTCAGCGCACCACCGGTCGTTGCCGGTCAATGCGTGGTCTCATGGCTTGACTTTTGACGCTCTTCGTCCATCCTAGGTCCTAAAGTCTTTTACTTGCAACCAAAGGGCATTTCGGTCGTTTTATTAAGTTTCAGGGACCAGATGTGCATGTAGTTGTTAACATATATGTATTTTTTTTTAGAAAGAAAACAGATTAATACTCCATCTGTTCCTAGATATTTGATGTTCTAGAGTTTTAGTTTGTTCCCCAAAATTTGATTTTTTAGGTTTTTGTTTTATTTTTTATTGATTAAAATTAATATATCGTAAACTTCAAGACATAATGATTAACTGTTTTTTAATACTATTGGTTCAAAGTTATTAAGAAATATTTAGTATAAAAAGTAATTGATAAATAATTAAACAATGATTGCTTCTTAATATATGTGAAAACTCTAGAACATCAATCTTTTAGGAACTGAGGGAGTAGTTTTTCTCGTTTAAACCAATATACATGTTCATGGGGAAAATTCCCAAAAAAAACCCCAAGTAATTTTTATTTGGAAGTTTAATGCCCAATTCTTTTGCGTTGGTCTAAAAATACCTTAGTTAATTAATTGTTGTCAATTAAATCGTAAACTTATTACTGATGGTCGTTTAAGTCATTCGACTTAACAGACGTTTAATCGGCTGACGGAATCCCTAAACCCGGTTTACTGGTTAAGAAAACGTGGTTTATTAGCCTAATTAAAAGACTATAATGCCCTCGTTACTTTCCCCCAAATCGAAATCGACGAACCCTAAAAATCAGAAACCCTAATTCTCTAACTCTCTCGATTCTCTCCTTCGTTTCATCTCCTAAGAAATTCAGTGAGGCGATGATTTGAAGCGTTTGATCGGTTGCATATGTGTTGAGTCAGTGGATTGTATATCGAAGAGATGAGGTATGTTGATTCGCGTTTTTTCTCTGTCGATTAGAATTTCTAGGGTTATCCGATTTCAAAAAATTTCTGGGTTTGGGTTGGATCGATATTGTTTTACTTTGTTTACAACGATTAACAACTGAATTTCTTATTTTGTAGTGATTACGAGTGTTTGAAACTCAACATTCACTACCGAGGAGATGTATCAATCAAGGAGCAGTCGTTCGATTACATTGGAGGGTTCGAGGATAAAGACATGTTGATGGATCCTGATCTGATGACATGGTCAATCTTCGAGGATTTTTGCAAAGAAAAGGGAGTGAGTGGTGAAGTCGGAGCGATTTGGTACAAGCTTCCGCATGAGGACATAAGTTCAGCAAGGGTTATCAAGACAGACAAAGATGGTGGAATTAGGGAGTTGTGTCGTGAGGCTGTGGTTGGTGGTGAAGTCGACATATACATTGACTCCGGCGTCTGTGAACCTATATTTCATCTTGATGTAGAAGATGAGGAAGAAATAGCAGGTGATGATGGTGCATATTCTGTAGACGGGAATGAAGAATGTGTTGACAAGGCTGCACAAGAAACAAATGCAGAGCCACAAGGTGTACCAGATGAAGGGGAAGATCCAGTAGAAGAACATGTGCACGATGATCCTAGGTTTGAAGCTTTCTTTGCAGAAGTTCACAATGGTACAGAAGCAGCTGCTGAAGCTGGTGGTGAAGAGACTCACAAAGATCAAGAAGAAACAGTGGGTGAACAGTTAGAGGATGAAGAAGAATTTGAGAGACAGTGTTTTGATGCAGACCGTCCGGATCCTGCCATGGACACAGATGAAGAATGGGATGCGTATGACCAAGCAGAAGAAGATCATCAAGAAAGAACTACTCCAAGGATAAACCTCCTTACCTCTGGATAGCTCAGAAATTCAACAGTGGGGAAGAGTTCAAGGATCAGCTCTTGAGGTATGTATTGAAGACTAATTATGATGTGAAGCTTTGTAGATGGGGTGCAACAAAACTGGCAGCTATATGTAGTCGTGAGAATTGCAATTGGAAGATCTATTGCTCTGCACATAAGCGTCCAGCAAAATGGATAGTCATGACTTATGTTGATGAACACCACCATTCTATTAGCGGGAAAGCAAGGATGTTGAAGCAGGGAGTCATTGCTAGAATGTTCAGAGATGAAGCAAGAAGAAAGCCTGGATTGAGGTGGACTGACATCAAAGATGAGATAATGATGAGGTATACACTCTCTGTTTCTAAGTGGATATGCCAGAAAGCAAGACGAATGACATTTGATTTGGTGATAGAAACACAAAGGCAACAATTTGCAAAGCTATGGGATTATGAGGCTGAACTTCAAAGGTCTAATAAGGATACCAAGACAGAGATTGTGACCATTCCTCAAGCGTCTGGTAAGCAACAATTTGACAAGTTTTACATCTGTTTTGATGCTTTAAGAAAAACTTGGAAGAGTTGCTGTCAGCCTATCATTGGATTAGATGGGTCATTCTTGAAATGGGAATTGAAGGGTGAGATTCTAGCAGCTGTGGGGAGAGATGCAGATAATAGGATTTATCCTATTGCTTGGGCTGTAGTTAGAGTGGAGGACAATGACTCATGGGCTTGGTTTGTTGAGAAACTAAAGAAGGATTTGGATTTGGGAATAGGTAGTGGTTTGACTGTGATTTCAGATAAGCAGAAGGGATTGCTCAATGCAGTAGCTGACTTACTTCCTAAGGCAGAACATAGACATTGTGCTAGGCACATCTATGCTAATTGGAAGAAGGTGTATTGGGACTATTGTCATGAGAGTTACTTCTGGGCAATTGCTTACAGTTCAACAGAAGGTGTTTACACTTATAACATGACAGCTTTGAAAAGCTATGATCCACTTGCACATGAGGATTTGCTGAAAACAGAGCCAAGTACTTGGTGCAGAGCATTTTTCAAAGGTCATGCTAGTTGTGAGGATGTTTGCAATAACCTATCAGAGAGTTTCAACAGGACAATCAAAGAAGCTAGGAAGAAGCCTGTGCTAAATATGCTTGAAGATGTTAGGAGACAAGCAATGAAGCGTATATCTAAGAGACGTGATAAGACTGCCAAATGTAAGTCTAAATTTCCACCGCATATAATGGGGATACTTGAAGCAAATCGCAAGTCAGCCAAGTTCTGTTCTGTCCTCAAGAGTAGTGAGAACATATATGAGGTGATGGAGGGTAGTGGAAGCTTCAGTGTCAATCTTCGAGATAAGACTTGTGCTTGCAACCAATGGAATCTCACTGGTGTACCTTGTCCACATGCAATCTATGTCATAACAGAACACAACCGTGATCCAGAAAAGTAAGTCTTGTATTGATTCATTTGATCTTTCTCTTTCAATTTTCCTTTTTTTGTGGACTGATTCATTTTATCTCTATGTGTAGTTATGTTAATAAACATTTTCTGACAACTGTCTGGCAAGCTAACTATAAGGACAACATAGCACCTGTGAATGGAGAGATGTTGTGGAAGAGAACAAAAAAAGGACCAATAGAAGTGCCTGATAAAAGAAAGAAGAGAGGGCGTCCTAAGAAGTTTGCTAGGATACTGGAACCAGGTGAATCAGCAACTAATCCTACAAAGTCTACAAGAGAAGGAGGCACTGTGAGTTGTTCAAACTGTAAGCAGTCAGGGCATAATAAAGGAACATGCAAAAATGCTAGTGTACAAGCAGCAGCTCCACGCAAAAGAGGCAGACCAAGGAAATGTCTTGTAAGAGTAATCTGACATTTTGAGTATTGCCTCTTTTGAGTTATGTCTTATTCAGATTTGATCAAGGTATGTCTTATTCATAGGATAATGATGATCCATGGAGCATTAACAATGCTCCAAAGAGGTGGCAGCAAGCTCAAAGCCAGTCCACACCATCTGGTTCTCAAAGTCAGTCTACACAAGTACCTCAGCATTCAAGTGCTCCAGCTGCTAATCCAAGTGGTAGGGGACGTGCTCGTGGACGCCCTCCAGGAACTAAGAATGGTGAAGGCAAGGGTCGTGGCAAAGGTGCTGGCAAGGGTCGTGGCAAAGGTGCTGGCAAAGATGAAGCTCCTAGACCGCCTGTTTTCTTTATGTCCCCATGGACTGACAAAGTGTTTGATGTTTGGCAGCCTGGCAAGAAATAGGCTGATCTTATTGATGTCTTTTAGGATCTTTCTGATGTAGGATTAGGATTATGTAGGATGATATGATATGTAGGATGCTGCTTAAGTTGGATGATGATTGTTTTGGTGGGATCCTTGTATGTTTTTGGTGGGATCGTTATGACTAAACGGCTCTTTTTGGCTCTTATGTTGGATTAACTTTTTATGAAACTCCCATTAGTTCAAACAAGACTTACAAACTTGTCATACCACCACAACAACAAAACAGAAAACAACAACAACAACACAGAAAACAACAACAACAACAACAACAAACAAAACGAAAACTACTTCCCCATTGCAAGTATCATGGCAATAACAACAATGAAGCATCCCCAAGACAACACAATGAACTGCCGAAGCATTTTCTCCCTCTCATTAGCACCCATAACTTCACTTTCAAGCTATGCCTTCTCTTGTTCGTATCTAATCCCTAAACCACTTTCCAAATTCGTCGAAGCACTGATACCTTGATCATTCTTCGTCTTCACAGATTCTTTAAGCATCTTTATTTCCTCTTTAAGCTGACGAATCTCATCTCTTGCTTCTAATAAGCTCACCTTCTGCCAACCATATGGCTTCTCTTGATCAGCCCAATCGAAGAACCCATGAACACCACATCTGAAGAATCTTCTTCCCGGATTCTCGTTTGTCCATGCTTTAACAATTGTTGTCGCCCTACCACAGTTGCAAAGAGGACCCCAGCTTCTGCTCACCGAATTGGCATCAGACCCAGAACATTGACTCAACATCTCTCTAATTGTTGTGAAAATGGAAGTTTTGATCTAGGGTTCTTGGTCTCATACTCATATATCAATTTGGGGGAAAGTAACGAGGGCATTATAGTCTTTTAATTAGGCTAATAAACCACATTTTCTTAACCAGTAAACCGGGTTTAGGGATTCCGTCAGCCGATTAAACGTCTGTTAAGTCGAATGACTTAAACGACCATCAATAATAAGTTTACAATTTAATTGACAACAATTAATTAACTAAAGTATTTTTAGACCAACGCAAAAGAATTAGGTATTAAACTTCCAAATAAAAATTACTTGGGGTTTTTTTTGGGAATTTTCCCCATGTTCATGCTAACAAGTAACAACAAATGCTTACAGCCAATTATATCCGA